CTATCCCAGGGCCCTTTGCGGCCAGACTCTGGTGACCCCCCGCAATAGGGAGAAACCGGAAACCCGCCCCGACGTGGCCACGTGGCCTTTTACATCAGGGGCTCAGGAGGCGGAGTATGACGTCATCAGCATACTTTGCTGTCTCCTGGAGGACTTGTCTCCTAACAGGGCCCCTGGTTCTTGGCTCCCGCTCAGCAAACACAGGGGGCACCCAACCCCCCCCCCAGTAGTGGCACACCCCGCAATAGGGAGAAACCGGAAACCCGCCCCGACGTGGCCACGTGGCCTTTTACATCAGGGGCTCAGGAGGCGGAGTATGACGTCATCAGCATACTTTGCTGTCTCCTGGAGGACTTGTCTCCTAACAGGGCCCCTGGTTCTTGGCTCCCGCTCAGCAAACACAGGGGGCACCCAACCCCCCCCCCAGTAGTGGCACAGGCACACCCCTGTTCTTGCTGGGAAAAATCTTTCTGGGGGTTCATTCTACCAGAAATATTTCCCCTATCAGTTCCTCGGTGACTTTCTAGGTTGTAATTATAATGTATTATTACTGCAAGATTTCAAGGCTGCTCAGTTTGCAGTTAAACAAAAACAAGGGAGATAGAAGCAGCTGTCACAATTACAGAGGTATTTCCCTGTTGAACATCCTCAGAAAAGTCACTGACATTATGGTACCCAAACTGCTGTCTCTAGGTGAAATAATATCCTGAAAGAGTGCAGTTTTCACTCCACCATTGATAACAATATTTTCAGTCAAGCAACTGCAGGAGACGTGTAGAGAAAAAACAACTACCACTGTACATAGCTTTCATCACCCCAACAAAGGTCTTCGATAACAGTCAACAGACTTTTTACTGTTCTGAAGAAACTAGGTTGTTCCCTTAAGCTGTTGAACATCATTTGTTCTTTACATCTTTACATCAAAGTATGAAGGCAACTGTAGCATATGAAAACAAAGAATCACACACCTTTGACAACAACAGGGTGAAATGGCTGTTTTAGCCCCCATGCTCTTTAACATCTACTTTTCATTCCTGTTTCTTCATGCATTCAAGGACAGTGATGATGACATTTATCTTTGAACCAGACTAGATGGAGCCTTGTTCAACATGTAAGGTGTAGAGCAAAAACCAAGGTGAAAGAGCTATTTCTTAAGAGATTTCCTGTTTGTGGATGATGCAGCCTTGGTTGCCTACAGTGAATCTTCCCTGCAAAAATCTCTTGGGCAGATTTTCTGAGTCATGCAGGAGCTTCAGGTTGAGACAATTAGTCTCACAAAACCTGTCATCATGTACCAAAGCTGGGGAAGAATTAATACCTAATATAACTCTGGGGGGTAAATCTCTTGGCGTCATCAACAGCTTTTGTTACTTGGGTTCTACAACCAACAGGAATTTTGACCTTCAGACTGAACAGAATCAGAAAAGCAGCTAAGAATTTTGGCCTATTACAGAAGTGTGTGTGGAGTAACAGCAAAATGTCATCTAAGGTGAAGCTGCGAATCTACAAGGCTTGCATACTTGTCATCTCTGCTTTATGGTTCAGAAACAGACTACATATGCTAGGCACATCAAGAGACTGAACAGTTTCCATATGAGATGCTTACATAAGATCCTGAAAATAAAGTGGGAAGACAAAATACCAAACATGGAGGTGCTGGAGTGCATAGGACTTACACACTTAGAAACCACTATCAAGAAGAGAAGGTTGCGATGAGTCAGCCATGTCAGGAGAATGGGAGGAGACTATATCCCCAGGAATATTTTGTACTGTAAGATTCAAGATGGCTCTAGAAAGCAGGGTTGCCCTCTATGGCAGTACCCGGTGTGCAAAAATGCTATGAAGTCATTCAACGTTAATGCAGAAAGCTGGGAGAAGTGTGCAGAATCCTGTCCAATCTTGAGGGAACATCTGGCACTGGGTGCAGCACAACATAAAGTCACTTTGATCCAGAGGATGGAAGCAAAGCAAGAAAGGACGCAGTGTGCTATAAACCTGGACTCCAACTCAGACAACACGTGGATCTGTGAAACTTGTAACAAGCTGTGTTGTTCTCAAATTGGGCACAAGTAGATTCATCACACACCTAACTAGATCTCTTATGCAAACACCATGATCTAGAAGATCAACAGTTGCCTAGAATATTACTACTCATTTTTTTGCTTTCCTGGCCTATAATTTTCAGCCAGAAAAAGAGTACCTGCAGTTCCCACAGACATGGCAACTTTGGGCCAGTAGTGGGGGCCATGGTAGCTATCTTCCTCAGTCTCCAGTAAAGAGAGGCCTGAACAGGTATAGTGAAGCTATAGTTTAGGTGCCAGGGTCTCTCCAAACAAGCCACACTGATGACACTGTTCCTGTGACATTATCTTCTGAACACACTTGTTTCCCTCCTCGTAAATCCAGGTAATCCTCCACCTCTTCAACAATAGGTCTTTATCTCTTGCCACATTCAGCATTTAAGCGCAGGAAGAGCAGCCCCTGAACAGCTGTTATCAACCAGCAGCAGCATCTCTCTGCCTTTTCACATGTCCCTTGCTTAAACTGTGTAAAAGAAGAAAAAAGAATGCATGTCATAGGCTTGATAAATTGTATGTGAAACAATATGCTAGGATATGCAGGCATACATTGACAAACCATCTAGATAACAGTGGTTAGAGACAAAGCAGGCCCCAGGAAAGCTTGGAAGTTAAACTGAAATAAAAACAGTTTCAGGAAACATTTTCTGTTTCTTAAATATTTGTTGTCTTTTAAAGAAAACTGGCTGTGGACTGCAGACTAATTTTAGAAATGCTCTTAATTTTTCTACCTACACAAAAGGCAAGAAAAATAGCAAGCCAAAATAAGGGTTTGAGACAATCTGCTTTTCAACACATGCTAGGTTAAGATACCTTCTCACCCCCAATAGAAAAGTACAGCTGTCTGCCTCATGCATGTTTGCCTCTTTGGGAATAGTGTTACAAGCTTCAGAAATGTCTTTGCTTCTGTAACAAGTCTTGAATTATATACATGAAGAAAAAGGCAATCACCAGATTTATATTTTTTCTATTTTATTGTAAAAAAATTGGTTTCAATTCTTTAAACATACAAGCAGAATTGTTTAATACTCCCCATTAACACTGTTAAATCTAACAAACTGAAGCAGAAATTCAAAAAAAAAATTAACAGCCACAAGTTTTTATTTACAAATTGAACTTTTTATAAGATATTTACAAGACAACCATTTTACACATTAGAAATGGTATCAAAAGTATGCATTACAACAGACAACCATGTATCAAATGGCCATAAAACAAGGCTGAAGAGTAAAGACAAGCTTTTAATTTTTAAAAGGTTTTTAAGTTTTCTGACACTAGTTTAAAACTTGAATTAAAAAAAAAAAGCAAGGTTTTAAACCAAAGAATAGTTCTAGGAGGGAAATTGCAGGGCTTTCTGTTGAGGATTGAATTTCACAGTGTTGTACCCCGTATTAGGAGAAATAAGACTATCTTTCCACACTAACACTCAACTACAAGTTTTGTTTTGTACTCCCCCACCCCAAAGCCTACTTCTGGCCCATCCCCACCCCTCCCTTTTGCTGATGAAAAGCCAATATATTAGTAAAAAGGACTGTTACAAAGCCTGGTTGCCTGTCTAAATGGCATGATGATGAAGAGTTTCAAAATGGCTTTGCACTGGGAAGTAAGGCCAGTTCAAGACTAGCAAATCAGAGCTGACTGTCACTGGAATTCAAAAAGGTGTACTGCCCCCTGAAAAAAGCCACTAAGGCAAAGTATAACCAGAATACAAAACTTGCTCAATGCAGACCTGAAAAATGGACATCATCAAGGAAAAGGGGGGGGCAGCACACAGGGCAGGGCGGGGCTCCAGCTAGTATTTGCCTGTTTTACATTTTGGCTCCTAATTGCACAGAAATCCATTGAGGACACATGCTATCATGCTAAAAGCAGGACACTCAAGAACAGCCTTATTAAAAGGGAAAAAAAAAGGATGCAGTGTATAGCCCTATTTATGCAACCTCTGTAGCACCAGAGCCCATACCTCACAAGAGATTTTCCCCTCTAAAGGTGTTTTAGCCTCTCTTCCAGACTCCAAGACTGCCTCAACTTCAGTATAAAAACGCAACTGTGTTAAGTTACAGATTCAGCCTCTCTTCCATATTGCATAATGATACCCCAGATATGGGGGGTTGGGGGAGTGGGGGGGGGCGGGGAAAAGCAACGCCTTTTGTGTTTCTCTATTGTTTATCAAGTTGTTTGTGCCAAGCGGGAAAAAGAAGATCACTGTCTTTACACAACACTCAAAAGGAATCATTCAAGTGGGTCAACTTCTGTGGCCTGCTAACATCTTCAATACAAAGTTAACATTTTCACCCTTATACTAAAACTCCTCCCTGGACCCTTCCCCCAGCCACATGCCCTCCGGAGGTACCACTGCAACTCTCAATCAGACAGGTAAGTGCAGCAAAAGAGTAGGGGGAACATGGTCTTTCAAATCCAAAGAATCCGTTGCTCACTCACCCCATCTACATGGACTCTAGTTCAATTTGAAGCCTGAAAGGCCATGAAAGAACTCTGTCTTTGTAATTACAACAAACAGTAATAAATCAGGACTTCAGTAAGAGAGTTACTCAGACTAGGAGCTTTTGGCATCATCCATTAGTGTAAAAAACAGCAACGAAGGCTGGTTTCATAAAGGAAGGGAATCACTACAGCTAAAGCATAGGCACCATTCTAGTTGTCTCTAGCCAATCCAAGCTTCTTACAAAATACACAAATTGCCAGGCAGTGCTGTCCTTAAACATTTAAATAAAAATGAACCGAAATTGTGCGTATAGAATTCTATTTTCACAAAGGCTTACAAACCCCCAGCCCCAACCCTCTTATATAGAAAAAAATGACATTTGCTGGCAAATAAGTCTGTAGAAGCATTTTCACACTGGTAACCCAGCTAGGAGGGTCTCACTAAGGAATATGCTAACCGATTTTTGACAAAGGTAACTAACCGTGTGTCTCATGGCAGCAGTGCGACACAGTTCTTAGTCCAGCCACACCGTCGCAGTGGTACAGGTTGTTTATGATGATCTGCCATCTTCCCTCAGGATTAATGGGCATTAATGAAGTTGGTTTTATGCTCTCCCCGCCCCGCAAAACAAAGAGAACAGCAGCAGCAGCAAAAAAAAAAAAAAAAAAA